TAAAATAATGAAATTTACCTTCTTCTTTTTGACCGGTTTGAGAATTTTGATGATGCACTTTTCGTTGTTCGTGATGTTTATACCTTCAAAGACCTCACTGTACTTTCCCCTGCCCACTTTCCTAACAACCTCATAGTCGTCTTGATCGCTGAAACAAGAAAATGAGCAAGTTTATTGCACCTCAAATCCATCATACCACACTATAAAACTAAAAGGTGTCTAATATAATAGACAGGTGGCAGCAATAGCCAATATGAAATAAATATATTTATATATTAGTATGCCTCTTTTCTATATTTTTCGTTTCCAACATAAATATAGTCAGCTAGGATCTTGGTAATCAATGGTAGTAGAACTTTCAGCAATTATATTATATTCCCTCTTACTCTGTTCCCCTTTACTTATTTTGATGTAGCAACTTCGTCTGTCACCAGTTATACATATCGAACAAAAAATCAGAAATCTTGTACCTTGTTTTCTCACAAGGAAATCCTTTCTTCCCGAATCTGTGTGGCGCCAGTGTTTCCTGTGACAAAAGAAGAAGAAAATCTCGAAACCCAAGTCCACCGCAGCATATATACGTGTTCTGGCAAAAAAAAAAAATTCAGGATACCCCACAAGCAGATCGAGAGGCAAAGTTACAATAAATGTGAAAGGAGTTTAACCAAAGCCTCGAAAACATATAGTAAATCACAAAATTCGTCAAGATAAAAAAAAAAAAAGAGACAAAAGATTCAGAACATACTTCACAAGGAAATCGAGAGGCAAAGTCAGTCAGCCAATTTTTGAGACCTCCCTTTTTAGCTCTCCCTCTTGCGCGACGACAAATGGTGAAGAGAAGAAAGTATGTATAGATTAGTGTGAATAATGGAGGAAAGAGGATGGGAGTTAGCGTGAATAATGGAGAAATTGCAGCCAAAAATGGTAGAGGAAAGGGGATGGGAGTTAGCGTGAATAATGGAGAAAGTGCAGTAAAAAATGGTTGAAAATGGTCAGTGGAGTGTGACGACAGCATGACCCGATGATGACGCGATATGAACAGGAACACAACTCTCCTCTTTTATATATTGTAGGGAAATGTGGACTGTATGCTTGACGAACATTGGAATTTTCCTGTCTTTCCAAAGCTTGTGTATGGTTGATCTGTTGTAGATTTGGTAATTTTTGTCTTGCTTTAACCTTTTGGTAATTTTGGAAAAAAAAAAAAACCCTATGTAGAGGATTTTAAAAAGATAAATTATAAGTGGATTATTTATTTTTTTACCGTAGAGTTATTCCGTTGAATTAGTCAACAAACACTTATCAAAATTAATTCAACGAAGTTGGGGCATTGAATTCACTTCAAAAACCTAGCCCTTGTTTGATAGGAATTATATTTTAAATTTTCATTTAAGTCAAGGTCAACAATTAATTTTAACCATATATTTTATGAGTTTTGCAACTTTTTAACGTCATGTTTTATTAACTTTTATCAAAATTTGTTAAAAATCTGATTTTAATCTTTACCAAACACGGCTATAATCTTTAAGGAATAGCTTGCATCACCTTACTCTATCCAAACCCTCACCCACCACCATTCACAATATGGGTTTGCTTGATAATTTTTTTTTTTTTTTTTGAGAAATGATTATTTAAAAATTATGTTTTTGTGAAAGTGTGATTAAAAAGTAAAATAAATTTGTGAAAAAATATGAAAAATGATTAAAATTGGTGTAAGTATATTGTCGGGATCATGCTGGGTCCCACCAGTTGCTGTTTAGACCGTCGCTCCAATTGCCCTCCTAGGAAAAATATCATTATGATAATTTTGCCCTTTTTCCCTACCCTCTTCCTCCCCCCTCCGTCTTCTGCGGCAGGAATGCAAGTTTCAAGCTTCTGCAACTCTCAGTTTACCTACATTTTTTGTTCTGCTTTGGCACGCATCTTTTCTCCAAGTCTTTCACTCTCTCTCTATTTGTTGATTTGACCTTTTTGCCGTCCTAAAATCAAATTAGAACTTCTGTTTTTGTGTCTTTTTAAACGTCTATAGCACGATAATCGTGGGGTTTCTTAACTATGAAAACTATTTAAAACTCTGTACTCTTTGCTTAGTTTTATCTTTGCTGATGTTAGCGTAGATGCCCATTTCGATTTCTTGATGATTTGTGTTCTTCGGCAAAAGTCTTGGAAATTTTATGGGGTTTTCAGTCTCTTGCTCTTCTCCTTTGACTTTGCTTTCTGATATGTTAGCAGATCTTCACAGTCATAGTTCTATTAAGGTTTATCGAAGGGCCTAGTCTTTATTTAATAGAGATTGAGCTGGAAACTTTGAAAATTATCCTTGCCTGGTCAAAAATAACAAAGAGATCATCAAGCATACGGGTTTTTCTTAAGTTTATTAACGGTTGTATCTTTATAGCTACTTTTATTTTTGTAGTTAGTACCCTTTTGCAGTATTGTCTTAGGACAGCTTTAACTTTGTAAATTAGGGTTTTCTGGGTACTCTGATGGGTTGTCAAGGCTAATCCCAGTCAAGCGTTCTTTTGTATTACCAAAATATGGCTGCAACTGAGCACTACTTTGTGGAGTGGAAAGAGCAATACGTGTCGAAAGAGAGGGGCAATCGTGTGGTGCACTATTTCTTGAAGGATAATTCAGGGGAATCCATACTTGCTGTTGTGGGTACTGAGAGGAGTGTTAGGCATATGTTTTATGTTGTTTCTGAGGAGTTCTTGAATGCCCATGGGGCCAAAAACTCGGTTCATGCCGGGTTTAGATGGAGATCAAGGCGAGAGGTTGTGAACTGGCTCACTTCTATGCTGTCAAAGCAGCATATGCAAGCCGATTGCCCAAGTATGTTTTCTTATTTCCTCGTGTGTTAGCACTCTTGAATTATGTAAGTGTTTCTGCTGGTAGTGATTCAAATTATTTGTCTGTGATGAATGTAGTGGAAGATTGGAGGGTTTACCTTTTTACTTTTTGTCTTTTAGCTTCGAACTTTTGTTTATGGCAATTGTTGGGAATTTTTACTTCTTCAAGTCCTGATTTTGGAAAAGGGACCACCTTTTTCTTATCCGTAATAGATTTCAATGGGGAATTCGAAGGTTGAATTAGTAGGATATTTTGCTTGATTTGTGATCTTTTAGCATTAAAAACATAGATGCTCTGATAACACTTGTGATGGCAAAAAAACCCGCCCCGCCCCGACCCGAATGGGGCGAAACCGTCACCCTGCCCCAAAGAGCCCCGAATCCGCCCCGTGAAGAATTAAAAAAAATAATTAACTACAAATTAAAAACAAAAAATAGTTGATTGGAAGTTTTTGAAAAAAAAAAAAGGGGGCAGGAAACGGGGCAAGTCCGGGCCCCGAACCCGCCCCATTGCCATCTTACATATCTGAACTCTACTTGGGTTTGACAATTTCTTTAGGGAACCACTTTTTTCTTTTTCAAAATTGTTATCCTTGACTGAAACTTCATGATTTGATGTTCTAACTAAGCTCATTGCAATTTCACCTTCCACAATGTGTGTCCTTATTGCAATCTCTCTTGCATGTTGATTGATTTGAAGTTTGAATGATTTAGTTAGCTCGTGTGTTTCTATTAAAAAATGCTGTTAGAGTTCCAATCAAGCTTAATTGTTTATAAATACGTAGAATGCTTAGTAATTTTTCTTTGCCTCCCGGTATTAAAAAATGTGATTTTTCTGGTTGCGCTTATATGGAGATATCCCTGTGTCTGCATCTGTTAAGAGTTTTATCTATGATAATTTCACTGACTATAGAGTCTACATCTTTCTTTTCTTTGTTCTGCTTATTTAAATACTAACTTTATAAAGTTAAGTGAACTGTATAATGCTTCTGGCTATCGCACCATAACATTAACATTGCATTACTTTTTATTACTTCTACTTGGTAGATGAGAAAATTACGCATATGATAGTTAAACGTTGGAATCTCAAATGCAACCAATTTTTGATCTGTTTACCCTTTTCCTTTTTATCTTTTGATGATTCCATTATATGATAATGATGACTTAGCCTTATTTCATATGGATGTTTTGTATATATAGCTGCCAGTGTCCTATTTTAGTTTTGTTGTTTCTATTATCCTGTAGAGAAAATAGACATACCTTATATGATGTCAATAAAAATATTATTCTATTTATGTGTAATAATTAGCATGTTAGGTCAACATCTGCTTTTTGTCATGGTAACTAATAAATGTGGCATCTCGTGCTTGACGATTTCCTTCATCTACAGCATTTAGGAGAACTCCTAGATCTAGATTAAGAGAGACACTATTATGATCGTCCTTATTTATTACTTACTTTAAACGTGGAAAAAATCATGCTTTTTTAACACTGTTCTGACCCATTTTTTATGGTTTTAATATCTGATTAGTATCCTGATTGCAAAATTCAGAATATGATGTCTGATTCTGGTTTGATTTCATACCTTGCTCACATGAATTCGATTTTTGAGATTTTCAGAATATTTCTCATGAAATGGAGTATATATAATCCTGAACATCTATTCATTACAAAGTCTTTTTATTCGTCTAATTATATCTTTGCTTTTGATATAAAAAAATTAGTTTGACATATGAACTCTTGATATTCTCTGCTCCCCTTTAAATGCCAGCCAAACCAATGATGCTGTAAACTTTGGCATGATATATATGTAAAGGAATGCCAATAAATAAAAAACCTGTTCAAAATTTAGCGTCTTATTATCCTTCCGAATGGACAGTGTCACCAAAAGAGAATTTTGCTCCAGAAATCAATGCTCGGCACACCCATATGCCAGCTCAAAAGGGCCGTGTAGCAAGGAACTTGAAAGCTCATCATTTAGATATTGTATGGTCGGGCATAGCATGGACCTGTGGTAAACAGCTCAAGCACTACCCAGAATTTTTCAGGAATGGGATTACGATACCGGTATGCTTCTACTTATCTATCAGTACTCATCAATAGATTTAATAGATGGGGTCTTCTAACTGTTCTCACATAAAATGTAATGCATGAGGATATTTTTATGTCGATCATTGTTGAGATAGGAAGCAAGGATACACTTTCGGTGCCGGTGAGTCGGTATCCGACACGTATCAAACGTGGACATGTGGCTGACACACGTCAGATACACCATGTCGCTTGTCTATTTATTTTTTAAACTGGTGGACACATCCCCGATAAGACTATCCCGACACGTCGTAAAACCGACACCTGCATGCCGTGACTGTTTAAAGTAATCAGAAAAAAGGTGACCTGACCTAGTTTATCTTCATTCTCTATTTTTGAAACCCTAGCTTTGTTTCATCAGTGTCGTGGGTGGGCAATAATCCGGCAGTCGGTGTTGAATGCCGCTGGCTCTTTCGTTATCGTCAGCCTGTAAAAAGAACTTGAAAACCTAGCTTTCTTTTCTTTTAACTTTGTCAAAACCTAGATTTTTTATTTATTTATTTTTCCTGAAAAACAAGGCACCTTTTTCCTTTATTAAAAGTCTTGTCAATTTGGGGGGGAAAAACAAAAACAAATCTGCTCTTACCCATTAAAAATATTAAGCTTTACCATTCAATAAGACAATTGGGTTTTTTAACCATTGAATAGAATAATTAGCCTGCATTATTAGTCAATATATAAAGCAATTGGCCTCTTTTATCCATTAATCGGCTTTTTGTCAAAATCATGAACTTTTAACCATCAAATTACCAATTGACCCAGGACTTCAATTAAAATTAGAAGACCAAACAATTCCAGAATATATAATTAATAGTTTGATGCTGCAAAAGATAAAATAAAATTGATGCTCAGGCGTACAACATTTTGTTCGATTTTACAATATAAAATTACAAAAAGTAAAAAAAAAAAAAAAATATTTAGCCCCTGTTTGACTCTCTTTAAATTAAAATTCTTTATTTCTACTCATTTTCAACCATACATGCACACGATAAAATATGTTGCACGTAAACAATTTTTTTCCCTACTTTTTAACCACACATTATCCAAAAAATCACTATTCATAACATCTTTTCCCCCTAATTTCTCTTTATAATTGCCATCAAACAGGGGCTAAATATTACTTTGATCAATGTGAGTGAGCATTTTCAAAAATCATGTGTCGGCATGTTTGTGTAGTGTCATGTTTGGTACACTTGTCCTTATCAGTGCTTCCTAGTTGCTGAGTAAAAAATCTAGCAGAAAGAGGAGATAGGATATGTAGAATAAAGTCTGAGCAAATATAAGGTTAAAACAGTAAATCCTGCATTTATGTCTGTCCTGTAAACATTTGTTAATTTTAAATTATCTTCACTTCCATTCATGCTCAAGTGATGGAGATGTCTCTTTTTCCACCCCATGTAGGCTCAGACCTGAGCACTTGTGCTTCTCATTCTATAATTGAGATATGAATGTGAATATGTGAAATTTAAATTTTTTTCCATGTTTCCCTCTGTAAATTTACTTTTGGCACGCTTAAATTTTATTGCCATGTTAACTTTGGGGTTGTGTATCACCTTTTTTTTTTCATTTAATTATTTGTGATGATGGTTTTGCAGTTCCGAAACTTTCTTTAATTTTTTTCTCTCCCTTTTCTTTTCAGGTACACTCATTTGTCTTTGTAATGGCTGAGAAAGAAAACCGTTATATCGCATACTTGGAAGATATGTACGAAGATAGAAAGTGCCATAGAAAGGTCAAAGTGAGATGGTTTCACCATAATAGAGAAGTCAGGGGCACTGTTTCTTTACGGAATCCACATCCTAAAGAAGTTTTCATCACCCCATATGTACAAGTCATCAGTGCAGAATGTGTTGATGGCCCCGCAATAGTCTTAACTCGAGAACACTACGAGAAATGCTTGGCTGTTTTTCCCCAGGATTTGGTAGGAAAAGTACATTTTTGCTTCAGACAATTCAAGAGCAATAGAATAAAACCTTTCAAGCTAAGTAAGTTGCGTGGATACTTCGATCAACCAGTTTTCTCGTGCTTCAGTCCTGATTTTTTTGAGGACGAAGAGTTCAGCTCTGAAGATGATGTAAAAGTGGGAACTAAAAGGAGCAGAAGATGCAGAGAGCATCAGAAGGCTGCACATGAATTATCATACAAGAAATTGAAGTATGGTTTACTGGGTAGGAAACCATTCAAGCATGTAGAAGGCCACGATTGGCATACTCCAAGTTTTAAGGTCAATGACAAGATAGAATTTCTTTGCCAAGATAGTGGCATTCGAGGTTGCTGGTTCAGGTGCACAGTTTTAGAGGTTTCTGGGAAGCAGATGAAAATTCAATATGATGATGTGAAAGATGAAGATAGTTGCCGCAATCTTGAGGTATGACTAGGCACTATATCTCCTTAAATTATGTTTATACTTCTCAAGAAAATCAACAGAACAGAGAAATGATGGTGGCTGTTTCCAAAAAGGAAGGTCAAATAGGTTTCAAGCATTTTATCTTAATATTTCTTGTTGTTTCCTGTTGGTGTATTATTGGTTAGATAGCATTGCCGAAATCCCCCCGTAGATGGGATTATTGGATCATCAATATGTTGTTAAATTAGTGTTCTAGAAAAAAGATGTTAATGTTAGAATCAGCTCCGTTGCAGCTATGTGCAACCCCTGCATACTTGTATTACATTCTACCAGCACACCACAGGCTTTGTAATTCATACGATGAATCGTGTGTTGAATTCACAAGTCTTTTGAAACTATGATCTAGGCTAAATTTAATCACTTGGGACTCGGTATACACCTAAGGAGGATTAAGATTTGAGGAATTTTCCTCTGTAGGACACTTAAAAAGAGAGAATGAATTTTATCCACTACTGTTGGGTTTTTAAATAAAGTCCATTTTATGAATTTTTTTGACAGATATATACCCTTCTCCCCCTTCCTTTGGGCATGAATTTCGAACCACCTAAGCATTCTCGTCAAACTAGGCAAAGTGATAGTTTTTAGTCCATTTAGAAACACAGTCTTCCCTTATAGCTTGAATTCCAAACCATCTTGGTATTCTTGTCAAACTGGGCGCAGTTACAAGAGTTTCTAGTTCATTTAGACGCTCTAATCTTTCTCATCAACTTTGCCTAGATTGCCTACGAGGAAAAATTTTAAATAAAGGGGCACTATAGCTGACTGAATGGCCATATTTAATAAATATACATTGGCCCAAAAAAGATTGACTAGTTCGAGAATTATTCCTTAAATTTTTCTGGAATCCATTTTGAATCTGGTCAATTAACTACTTTGATGTATTCTTTAACCATGCAGGAATGGATCCCAACATATAGAATGGCCCAGGCTGATAAACTGGGAATGAGACATTCCGGTCGTCCAACAATCAGGCCTGCCTGTCCTTGTGATCAAGGGAGCCAGAACTTCGAGATTGGAGCTCCAGTTGATGCCTGGTGGAGTGATGGTTGGTGGGAAGGGGTCATATCGGGCACTAGTGGTTGTGAAAATGGAAAACATCAAGTTTATGTTCCAGGTTTGTCTTTGAATTTCATTTTGTTTTCTAGATTACTATTCTCATCCCTATCCCCATCCCCATCCCCCGCCCAAACACACACACCCATGCAAGATAGGAGAGAAGGAAAAAAAAATGATGTCTATACAACATGGGGTTTCTGATGTTATCTTTTCTTTCCCATTTGGGTGAATCAGGTGAAGATTTATTTTTGAACATAGAGGGAAAGAGCCTTAGAGTTTCTACGGATTGGATTGGTGATCAATGGGTGGATATTAAGCCAAATTCTAACATTCTCTCTCTCATATCTGCAACAAGCGTAGATGCCAAGCTTTTGGGATCACCTGCTATTGTCAAGGAAACCAAATCAGACAATTCTCGCACTTCATGTCATAAACCTCTTACCAATGTCAAACTCAGCGTTGTGGAAGAGGAGACCCATGATTTAGGAGGTAAGATACTGGACACTGACCTTCTGAATGATGACTGCTCGAATGACGACAAGCACCAAATTCTTACAATCCAAGAAAAGGACAATGACATGGATCATGTCAATGAAGATGATGAAAAGAACAATGTCAACTATAACCTTAGTGATTCTATTATTGCTGACAAATCCTGTGATGCTGATGCCTGCAAAGAGGACAATTTAGTGGAATGTGAAATTGCTGAGCCGAGATGTGAAGCAGAAACAAAGGAGGTTATGACGTAGAATGGTCCTTAGATACAATGTTGTCTCATCTCTTACATAGTAACGGGGTAATTGGAAATGGTAGAGTTATCTTGGTATTAGGATAGCTGTACATAAAGGTATGTAATAGAAGATTGTAATGCATATTAGAACTTTGGGAGTTACTTGGTATACAAAAAAAGAGGTTAACAATCTTGAATGAACTCGGCGAATCAGCCATTGCCCATGTAAAGAGACGACCCTTGGATTCAAATCTCTGTGATGACAAGGTATCTCCTCTAGTATGCTGTGTACTATATATTGGTCCTGTAATATGTAGTAGACTTTTTCTTGAACTTCTCAGTTAACAGTACTGTTGTAATTGGTCTAATCACNGGGGGGGGGGGGGGGGGGGGGGGGGGACCATATCTTCCACTGCCCCATTCGGGGCTAGGGATGGGCTGGTTTGCCATTCCTAATTTCGAACTCATCTGCGTCAACTACTGGCCTCTGTAGCCAGGAGCGTAGGGAGCTTTATGGGGGATGGAAGGGGAGGAGGATTGGGATGGATGATAAAGAAGATGACGGGTGAGGCAAAGGGAGGAATATATTGGTCCTCGACTTCTCCTCGAGATATTTTCTCATGAATGAATCAAAAAGTTGGCAAATGAAGAAATAAAAATGAAAACGTTAATTTTGTGGATAAGCCTACCGAGAATTTGCATGAGCTTCAGCGCCTCTCAACGCACACCAAGAGTAACTTTCGAATAACACAGCAAAACCAAAATGAATTGTATTTCTTCTTCATCATCATCATCATCGCTCTTACCAACTCTCTTTCAACTGTGCAATTTCTCCAATAATTCTTCCAAATCTCAGCTCTCTCTTCTGTCTTTGCCTTCTTCAAAATTACGGGCTTTGAAATCCTATGGACTATCGATTTTTAGTACTTTGGCTGCTTCAGAAGTTTTAGAATCTGATGTTAACACTGCTAGTTTTTGAGGTTATTATCTTTCTGTGTTTATTAGCTCGTTCATTCTTGAAAGAAATGGGAATAGTTTTTGTTTTTCCTAAATTGGGTTTTTCATTATTTGGGTTTGCAGGATGAAGCTCCTGGTACTCCAGTGCCAAGTGTCGGTGCCGATTCTGATAAGGTAACCTCTCTTTACCATTTACATTACTGTGTGATTGCTTAGTGTAGTTATACATCTCATTGATTTGTGCTTTCTTTTTTCTTTGTTGCTTTTATTGTTACTTATATCAGAGAATTTTAGTGGATTTACTTTGTTCAAGGTACTAAAATAAATTTGCTAGATTTCACTGCACTTGCATTACATTGCAAAGCATATTATTTTAGATGCCGACTATAGCGGCTTGAGCGATAAATTTTGTTGTTATACGAGGTAAAGACAAGTTTGTATGAATGCTAGATGAATCTGTGGTATTTGACAATGGCTTGGCTGGCTTTCTGAAGTTTTTGGTTTTGGTGTTTAGATTAGTTTCTGTTGGGAAAATTATTACACAATGGTACAAGTATGAAATGAAGATTCAAACACAATTAAATTGACAAAGAATAAATTTGAATTGATGCAGAAATTTGTGTTTGAGAGAGATTAAAGTTTCACTCTTATTCCTTTAAGAAGAATTTTCCCTGTCGGTATACTTGTGGACTTTTGGCTATATACAAACTTTTAGCAACAGCTACTCGAAAGTATAGCAACTAATTGAATTTCTTGTACTATTTTTAAAAAATGTGAATAAAAAAAAAAGCAAATATTTTATGTAGACTAGATCACGGATTGCAAAAATAAGGACCAGATTGTATTTGAGATATACAAAATGGGTATCTATAGTTGTTGGAAGTGATTGCCTGAAAGCAGATTTCTGTCCAGAATGATATGTTTGATAGAAGACAAATTTATTTTAATTTTTAAAGAACACATTTGGTCTGAGAGACATTTGTCATTTCAGACTTGTTAGAGAGATGAATAACTATATGAAAAGACATGTCTGTGGTACGAAAATCATCTCCAATAAGTTCTATGCCACGTGTAACTCTATAGTTTGATCACAGTCACGCCATATGGATTTTGACTCAAATCCAGAGTTCCATATAAATGCTTATGCAACATTTGGTTAACTTTCCATCTTCGGATGTGGCATATGAATTGTCTACCACCTTTCTACTTCAAGTTTTTCCATAATTCATTTGAGTCGTTAGAGCTTAATTTCTCATTCACGCGAAAATGATTTTGATTGCATGAATACACAGTGACCATCTGCTAGTGAAGAAGGTGGAATTCTAACTTAGTCCCCACTTTAATGACTTGGCAGATTCTACTCATTTTGGCTAAAAGTTGGTCATTCACCACTTTATACTCAAACTATCCCAACAAGTGCTAAGTTTCATGTCCTGTAGTTGAAAGGTCTGCGTTGGGTTTTTTGATACCCAATAAATCCGGGCGATGATGTAAAACAGTCGTCGGATTATTTTAGCTACGCCAAAAGTTACGGCTCGACTTGGAAACAATTAATACACATTGGAGGGCCTAAGTTTGGTTGGGTTGGTAGTTTAGTTAATGGATGGATTTGGTTATTAGCCCATTAACTTGCCCGTTATGAGTGAGATTTGGCCCATGAGAGTGACCTAAACCTAGCCCTTTTATATGGTAGAAACTCCACCATTTTGAGTGTGCTACAAGTGAAGAGAAAATGTGAGAAAGGGGGCAGCCGGGTGTTGGGGAAATGGAGAGATTTCACCATTGTTGTTCACCTTGTTTCTTCTCCATTGTAGTCATCACCTAGTGTCCTTTGTGGGTACTAAAGAGAGAGCAACCGAAGAGGGCAGAAAGAGGCAACCAATGTGTAGAGGGTTGTTGGGTCGAGCCTTTGGAGATTGGTGTTCGTTTGGTTGTTTTCTGAGCCCGGAAATTGAAGATTGAAGTCCCAATATTCTACAGTCTGCAACATGCCTTGTTAGATAGGATTATCCCCGATTTAATTACGTTTGTGATTTCTCAAGGCTTTCTGATTTTTAAAAGCCTTTAGGGGTTGGTGGCAACGGTGATTTCATATTTTTAGTGGCAATAAGATCATGGAACATTGGTGTCTCGATTAAAGTGAAGAAGTAAGTTTAGTTTATATGCCCAGGAGAAGACAAAAAGGCGCAATCTTTGGAAATTTAAAAAGAAATGGAAAAAGGATTAAGGTAAATGAAAGTAAAAAAGAAAAAAAGACGAGAAAATTCCAACAGAGGACAAAGTCACAAAAGGAGTGAGAAAAATTTATACTGTAAAATTGCTAACTTATAACCCAGTTGCGTGGCACCTTATGATTCTGAAATCAAAAGTTTCTTTACTAATTATCTTTGCCGTGCATTCAAGGAGACTTTGAGAAACATCAAAATAATTATATATGGACGTGGAACGAACTAAGTCTCTGCATACGCTTTGTTTAACATTCTGTATCTTGTTCTTGTTAGTAATGCTGATATCCGATGTACACGATCAAATTTAACTGCATGTGCCATTTGGGAATTTTTATTTTATTGTCGTCTTTTTTCGATTCTATAAGCATCGCTTTGAATAATCTAAAAGGACAATTTTGTTCTCAGATGGCACCTAAACAGAAGATCAGAATCAAATTGAGGTCATATTGGGTACCCTTGATCGAAGATTCGTGCAAGCAGATTATGGATACTGCAAGGACGACCAATGCAAAGACCATGAGTCCAACAAAGAAGAGAATATATTGTGTTCTGAAATCTCCATAAAGGCGCCAGGTTCCATTTTGAAATTAGAACTCATCCAACTCCTTACTGACATTCTTAACCCAACTGCCCCAGCAATTGACTCGTTTATGCAGCTTGACCTTCCTGCAGGTGTTGATGTTCCAGGTTAAGTTGTGACGATAACAACGTTGCTCTTTTGTTTTGCTATAACTTGTTCTGTTAAGTGATTCTTGTTTATAGAAAATCCAGACCTATTAGCTGAATTCCGGAAAAAGCAAGAAAATTAATTTATAGTTTTTCCAGTGAAAGATTACATATTATTGGATTCATGCGTCTTGGCATATTCAAGTTTCCAGATATGTTACCATACCTAAGGTTGCAAGTATCATATTGTGATGCTTGAGGCTGCTGCGTCAAGGGTTCGAATCCTGAAATATGGATTTTGCCATTGGGTAAGTGCAAGTGTACAAGCAGCCTTCCACCCTATACCCTTGGAGGCATAATCTGCGATTTACCTCCTTCACCAAGGCCCAGGGCAGGTGGAGGCCGCTAAGGATGCGGTTCATCCTTTTTAGTATGTGGATGGACGATAGTTAGAGTCGACCCATCTTCTCGAATCCGAATCAGCGTACATTTAAGTGGTTGACAGTTTTTTTCCTATTAAAAAGGCTTGTGCAATTCACATGACTCAGTTAACCTAAAATTTGTTTAACATCGTGAATATGGATGGTTTCTGCTATTAGGTTCATGACAGGTTTGCAAAGAAAGAAAAGATTAAGAATATACTTGCTACTTACTATTGTAGACTTCCTAATTGGGACCAGCGCGTCAACAAACCTCGACTCATCTTTTCTTCACATGTATTTTACCTGCACATTTTAGAGGCGCAGGACCGAGGCTCCTCCAAGCAAGGCTTGGGAGGTCACGATCATGCAAACTCTGATGATTAAGTCATGAAACGAGGAGAAATGTTGGAGTCGAGTTTATATATTTAGAGTGAGAATTACGAACTTAAGATTACTCTGAAAATACACCCGTGTGAGTACTTATAGGCAAAGGAAAGTAGTTGAAACTCTTTAGATATATGACAAGTGGTCTCAGCTACTTACAATAGGTAAGCATTGCATACACTTGGCTTTCCTATTTTTTCTTCCTGTCAAAGTAGCGTTATTCTAAAAGAAAATCACTCATTTTCCACTCCTAGTCCTCGCATCTGACCTACCCTTCCACTCATGTCTAGTCTCATCCTCGTCTCCCCCATTGACAACAATCTTGACCAGATACGTCTATGAGCATCTACTTTTTACAAAAA